ACTCCCTTAAATAAAGTGAGAGAAAAAGCCATTGTTTATTTCACTACTATTTAAGAGTTAATGAGAGATTTGCACCTGTACAGCTGTTGTGGACTGAAACGAGCTCATGGAGTGAATGTGTTTTCTGCTTGAGACAGTTGTAAATGTCTTGAGTAAAAACACTGAGGACTGCTAATGGATAGGTTTATTTTAAAGCATGCCATCTGCTATCAATCACAGAGAAGTATAGGAAGCAAGTTTGGCTGGGCTCCCTCCTTGTGAGCCTGATAAAGACAGGGCTCCAGGACTCAGGAACATTGAGTCCTCAAGAGAATAAAACATCAAACCTACTCAGCAGCTCCACTAACAATAATAAAAATGCCTCTGCCTAAAGGTGACATTCTGAATTTACGATTATTTGTGTCTATAAAGTGTATTCTTTGGCTCCTGACTCATTCTGACTGTCTCACTCTGAGAACAATACATTAAGCCTGCCTGGAGTAAATGGAGATCCTATCCTTTTATTAAACCAGCAGCCAGTACCTGAGACGATCTAATGCCCTGTATGAGCTCGCAGGAAGATTTTAGGTTCTGTTCTGTTCCTTCTTCATGAATGTTAGGACAAAATTACAAATGAAATCTATGTTAATGCAGTAAATATATATAAATAATGTAGGCAACTTTATGTTTCCTGAAAGACAAAATAAAATGAAAGAAAAGAAGAGAGTGAATTGCAACTAGTTCTATCATTCTTCCATTGTGTGTCTATTACAATGCTGTTGGAAAATTACATTAGAGATATGTTATGGTAAAATTTAGAGCCAGTTGTTCAAAATTGTTATGTTCTTTGTGTCGTCTGGACCAAGCGTGTTTTCAAGAGGACAGACGTTATTTCCTCGGAAATCTTCCAGCTGTGGAATCATAACCAATATTGCTTTCAAAAATGGATCCCAAAGTATTCCTTGAAAAATGTTGAGCCTGGCTTATTAAAAGTGCTGCCTGTTGAAATCCTCAGTGAATGAAATGAGTTGTGGTGAAACTGGAACCTTCCACAGCTTATAACGTTAAATTCTGCCTCAAATCTGCAGCTTAACTTAATTCTACTGCTAGCCCGGAGAACAGAGTTGTGAGTATTTAGGGAAAACCCACCTGGCCAGCAAACTCATGAGTCTAATTAAAGTCAATAGAGAAATTAAAAGAGGAAAACACTGGGTCAGTAGTGGTAAGGAGAAATGTGTAAGGAAATAGATACTCAGGGCAGGAACCTACATTTTTGGATGATGTATTTTTTAAAAAATAATTCTTCCTAAAGATGGAAGAAGAATTGGGATTATTTGACTTACTGTATATTATGGGTGATACATTACAGTTCAATAAGTTATTTTCATGCTGAAGAAAATGAATGTTCCAGATTAAATACTGAAGAAGTAGAAATCCTGATAGAATCAATGAATACATTGGCAGATCTGCTGTTAACACAGTTTTTGTAATAGGAGGAGTATTAGCAAATTAACAGTATATTATTAAAAACACTAGTAAAAATATTAGTAATATATGTAATATTAGTAAAAGGTATTATTCTTGCCTTCCTTGGAGAAAAATATCTAACACTGAATTGAATTGAATTCTATAGGAATATTATAAAGCCAATCTTAAAAGCTAAATTTTTAGAGGTAAAAAAACGCTGGAAGAGTTCAGAAAAGAGGCAGAAAAGCAGAGTGCAGTAGTCAGGAAAAACTGGTTAGGAGACTTTACATCATTTCCTTAAAGACAGAAAGAAGATACAAAATGAATGAAGAAAGCCTGTAATTCATACTTAGAAGGATACAAAAGATATTTATCTATTGAAATTTCAGTGTGCTTTCTGAAGCATCATGCGATTAATTGCTGAGTCAAATTACAAAACATACCTGGGGCATAAGGAAGCATCAACAATGCTCTGGTCTTTGTTAGGGCTCAAAAAATTAAATTTCCATAGCCATCAAGTAGTAAATGGAGTAGAATTTGAGTGAGGCAGTCTAGGTCAGAGTTAAAGAGTACAGCCAGCGAAGGGCTCCTGCCTCCTCCAAGCAGGCAGCCTCTGCCCAGTACACTGCAAGTACTGACTGCAGAGGAAGAGAACCCAGTTGTCACATCCTCCAGTTTATCAAAGGAAGTTGGAAACCTGGCTTTTAATGAATACTGCCCAGTTTTTTAAAAGACTTTATGGTCAAGCCCAACACCTTATTAGTGTGGGACAGGTCCACCAGTACCCTGCTCTGGGCTTTTCAATAGTCCACATCATAGGGAAGCCTCAATTTTTAATACTAGAAATCCTGAAAATAAGTCTATAAATGTTACGAAAAGCTCCTAAATTACATTTGAAGTCCTTCTACTTGGTGGAATCACTTAGTTTTTCATGAGGCCAATTCTGTGAATTATCTTAGAAGAGTCAGTCTGTTTCTGAAAGTGCTGAATACTTAATTATTATTAGGTATGTTTCTTATACCAGATTTCAGATCCCTGACAAGTCACTCAGTGGAGCACTAATGAAAACAGCACTTGTGGGGACTCTACTGCCAGAATTAGACGTTAGTGGCCATATCCAGAAGAGAAATACCTGAAAAATTAGCACAGTAATTTGTTTCTTCAAACCTGAGTCATTTAATCTCTTAAAAAAGCAGTGGTCTATGAACACGGTAAAAGAATTAAATTGCATTTATAAAGTGGTTTCTAAAAGATTTTAATGTTTTCAATAAAAAGGATGGGCCATTAAAATAGAGTTAATACATATTATTCAGAACTCATTACCTTAAATATTCCCTACTTAGAAATCCCAAATACTCACTGAATTGTAAGAAGACTATAATACCAGGTAGATATTTTGTGATATTTCCACAGTTAATATTTGTAACATAGATCTACAGATTCAGAAAAATAAAAGTTTAAACCAAAATTCATCTACCCTTGTACTTCAGGAAATATTATTTTATTATCCTATACAAAGAAAGAGGCATATGAATTATTTAAACAATGTTGCCAATTCTGACTATACATAACTCTATATCATCAGAAAAGTGTTTCTGAAAACATCATGCATTTATTAATTTGGTCAACACATATTTATTGAATTCTTACAAGGCTTTATATTTGGGGCAGAAAAATACCTTACTAAAAGAACTTTGTGTTACTAGATTGGAAATAATGTATTCTGGTTTATTTTCCCTGTAGTTTTGATTTTGAGGCAATCTCAAATTCAAAATCATCCACGTTAAAAGTCAAATGCATAAACAGCAACAGGTTCAAAGTTAAAAGCTCTCGCTGCATATCAACGCTTATCAGACATTGTCTACACAACATTTTAGACTTCTGTTAATATTGTGACAGCCTTTTTCAATTTAGAATGTCAAACCACTGGCAATATCAAGAAACAGGTGATCATTTGAGAGGTAAATACCAACCAAATAATCCGAACTCTAATCAACATCAATGGCCTACGTGTAAACAAAGGAAGAACCACATTAATAAAATGCAGTACGTTGCATATTGGAACGAGTTTAGTGTTAGGACTTGTTCTGGCTCTATCACCAAGTGACTGTAACCTTGACTGATAAGAGATAATCACCTCTTTGTGTTTATTTCTTTCCTGGGAAAGTTGAGAGAGGAACAAGTTGGTCCCTTAGTCCTCTGCCCTATCTAGAATTTCTTTTCTTATTTAACCTATTTATTTTCTGTGGTGGTTAGATGTATGGAAAAAAAGGATGTTTTCTTAAATATACTTTGATATAGATATGCTCATAATTTATAATATTTACAAACTGAGTAAATATTTTTCTTTTTTATATTTAATAGATATGCATTTTCCTTCTTACAAAAAGAAGTTTCACCTAAATCTAATATCTGTCTATCCATCCATCCATCCATTCATCCATCCATCCTACCTAGAACGTCAAGATACAAAGAAAATCACCTTTACAATTTCGGTATATTTCGTATTCATCATTCACTCTGTGTAATTACACATACATATTTATACAAGTTGTCGTTGAGCCATGTTAGTTTCTTACTCTTCACTCTATGTTATGTCAAAACCTTTAGCCTGTTTCTTGGGGTATTCTTTAAAAACACAATTACAAAATATTTTATTAGATGGATGTATCATAGTTGACTAAACGATGGACTTTTAAGTTATTTTTACTTTGTATTTTGCAATGAAAATCCTTACTAATAGTGTACACTTATGAGCATTTCCTTAAGATCAATTCCTAAGTACAGATATTTGAGTTTTAAAGCTTTTGACTTGTAGTACTACAATGTCATCCAGAAAGTTGTGTCAATTCACTCTGCCACCAGTAGAGAAGATTGTTAATTTTTGGTTAACACAGTGGTGTTTACTGCATCACCATGATAGGTGGCTCATAGAAGATTTATGCTGCTTTGTAGACAGCACAAGGGGAGGAATTCCACCTTAATCTCTAATTTTCCTAATCACAGTGTGTGAGTGTTCTTAAAAGCTTAAAACTGGGCACTGTGCCCACCTCTTATACACACACACACAGAACATGCATGCACACATGGCCCCCGTGGTCATACATGTAAGATGAACTTTCTGATGACAGCAAACAGACTTCCACTGACATACACAATCAGAAAAAGGGAATTTTTGGAGACCACTTGGTTGTAAGCCAGCTGTCAAGAAGCCATGGAGAGTGAGAGTGAGTCCTCAGGGGATCCTGCCTGGTTGAGAAAATAGTTTCTAAGATGATAGAAGTGTTATATGGTGGAGATGGAAGAGATCTGTCCCTTTATCTACTAGAGAAAGATAACTGTGGCCAGGAAATGAAGTATTTTCAAAACCCAACAACAACTAAAAGAAAAATTTGCTAATTTTGCCAAGCTAGCACAAGGAACTCGGCCACTAGTCAAGAGGCTCCATGTCCAACTCAGAGCTGGGTCATTTTAACAAAAATTTCCCTCCTCAGCCACCTAAGTGTCTGTTGAATTAGGCAAGAAGCCAAGATGAGGCAGAAATAGTCACTCACATGAAATGTCCGTTTCCACTTGGATCTCTGTGGCCCTTTCCTATGTCATGGTGAAAAAATGCTTCCTCTGTTCGAATGTTTTCAGGATGCCTTGGTTTGGGGAGGAAGTCAGATCTCCTGTTCAGAAGGCGTCCATAGGAGGGGAAGCCACAGCTTTGCACACCCAGAACCAGGCTATCCATGCCTTTAAAAATAAAAGAAAGAAAAAGAAAATAAAAATTATTCCTCACCCACTCCTACCCATGATTTTGATGTTGAAAGAAACCTGTTGTGGTTTAAATGACTCGGTCAGTTCTTTTGGGATTTTCCAAAGCTTCCTATAAAAAGAAATCTGTGGGAAATGAATGATTGCATAATCACTAACATATGCCAACTTCTCTAAACCTGTTATCTTTTTGATGTTTTGAATTGCATTGTCCCAACTAGTGAATTTCTATTTTCTAATAGTTTAAAGTGGTGATGCAGTTTGTATAGTCCCTCTTTCTCTTTTTTTAACCTTTGAAGGGTACCTAAAGAAAAAGCAAATGCCACAAAAGGTAAGGCGACATTTATGCAGCAAAATTAGCAGGACAGGAGGATGAAAGATGAGAAAATAAGGCAATTATTCAGATAAATGGTGGATGGAGGGAAAACTTGATTTTCTCTATTACCTGTATACCTTGAACAATATTATTTTTAGCCTGAATTAGAGTAAATGCATCTGTTTTTCTTCTTTGGTAGTGGAGGCTTAACAAACTAGTAAAATTATTCATCTTTTTTTGTCCATAGTAAACAGAGAATTTGTTCATCTTTGCTTTAAAAAATATTATAATGCTTGTGTCCAGAAAAACATCTTCTAAATTAAAGAAAAAGTGGAGATGAAGCTTACAGGCTAAGGCATCACATGGAAACAGTCCGGTGAAGGGAATAAAATGGATGCAGTTCACTTTCTGTGAGGATAAAGACCCCAAATGCCTGATCCCCAATTTATTGAGTGAGTATATATAAAGAATTCCAGAGGCTGTTCTTCCTGGCGGCTGCGTATGGAGAGTCCACAGGTTCACACATACTGGCAGTAGTAAAGATCCTATAAGAAAAGCGAAGCTAAAAGCAAACCCATTCTTTTTTTCAAAGTCCTTTGACTATTACTGTCCTTTGTGAACATTTGAAGAGGTACTGATGGTTGACCAGAAGGGGCTTGTGTTAGTACCATAGCAGACATTCAGTTAGAATGGGGACCCGTGGTTCTTGTTCCCTCCTATACATGGGAATCACCTGAGGAACTTTAAAACTACCTATGCCTGAGGTCTATTCCACACCAAGTGAGTACATTTAAAAAATGTATCCACAATCCACTTGCATGCTTTTATGGCATCTAGGGCTTCTCTGTCTTAACCCATACCCTACTCAATTAACCATTTTTCAAATGTACTATCTTTACAAGTAAATTAGACTATGAAATATTTTACATCTACTATATTCACAATACCTAAAATGCTATCTGAATTATACAAAGTGTTCAATGCATATTTCAAATAATAGTAATTGAATGATTTCATACTAATAAATAAATGATCATAGGGTAACTTTTTAACAGTTAATTATTATTTTATAAGTGATGTATACATTATGAAAGGAAAGTTTTAGCATAGGACATTATTGTTCAGCATAACTTTACAAAAATGCTGAATCTTGACCTGAGCATTAAAGGTAGTAGGAAATACAACTTCTGCAGAACTGAATGAGCAGACATTGAAGTGATTAGTGCTAAGCATTTTGCAGGATAAAAGAACTAAAATTCCACTGTCCTCTGTACTCATGCCAGAGTATCTGAATCTGTGAGAAAATTCACCAATTTTAAAGGGATTCTAGAAAATATTGAAAACTAAGTATGTATGAAAACATAATTTGTGATCAAATAAAACAACAGAACAGCAAGGAGCTAGTAAATACTTACAGGTAATAAGTAACATTTCAATTACTTAACTTCATTTTATGGGAATGTTTCTAGTTTGGGAGATTAGGGAAAAGCAAAAGAATGACATCTTTATCAACATCAAAAATTATACATCATATCTTCATTGATAAGATGGAGATCATGGGCTAAGTCATAGTACAGTTAAGGGGAGTTATATCTTGAAGGTTTCACTTTATTGCAGAATAATAATACTGTGTGGTCAAAATTGCCCTTGAAATTGTTTTTAATGTGCCTCAGTAAGAACAACCCAGCCAGTTCACCCTCCAGCTATGGAACTAATCATTTTTTCTATGATAGAGCATTATATGAAGTAGTTGGTTCATGTTTACAAAGCATATTGTATATCCCCCCAAAATCTTTAAAAAGTAGAATCACACTCACTCTGACAAAATGATCAAACTAAGAACTTCATAAAAACTAGGAATCTGATAAGAACCGAAACCACAAGGCAAACTTCAATTCAACAGAATGAAGAAGAAAGAGCCTCCATTATGTTCTGTGCTCGCTTTCTCTCTCCCTCTCAATTCTCTGCTCCTATTTGTTTCATGTAGAGAATAAAATACAATTAACATAAGCTAAATTCATCTCTGATGAAATGCAACTACAGTCATTTGATCATTATCAAGCTAAGAAGCATATTTAATATGGAATGACATAGGCTTCTGCTCTTTTATTTCTGCTCAAAATTTTTGTGAATGGCTTGGATTACGCGATGCAGATGAAGTGTATTTTTTTTTTTTTGCTGATAATTTAAAGCTTGGAGGACAGCTAATATTTTGGAATACAGAATCATTATACAAACAGACCCCAACAGTCTGAAATTGCAAAGGGATATATCATTTAACAATGAAAAATAAAACCTTGTGGATTTCTGTTCCAACTATTAGTAAATTTAGTGTAAAAAAATGCCTAAATTTGTATGAAAAAGACCACCTGTTGAATGTGAGCCAGAAATCAAGAGCTACAGTGGTGAGAATTCTGTTAGAGTATTAATAATCTATAAACTAATCCAAGACAACTACATAGTAGAAAAGCATTTTAAGATTTTATTTTTAATGATACATTTAGAAATTAGTGATGAGGTGGTAATAAAAGGCAGAGATTACAAAACAAATATCAATTCCCGTGTTCCAATTTCAAATACACGTAGATCTCCTAAAGTCTCCAAATACTTTTAACAAAATACATTTTATTGGTGATTGCCTCAGTGGCATCGAGGTAAATGAGTGAGTCTAAGAGCAACTTGGAGGTCCTTAAAAGGAGTTTAAGAGCAGAAATTTTTATAGTTCTTTCATATGATTTAGATGAAACAAAACAAGGAACATTTTATTGTGAAGAAATGATATGGTTCATCTGCAACAATCATAGATTCACCTTATAATGGTAGAACTGGAAAGGACTGTAGCAACATCTGGTCTGAATTCCCTTTCAATGAAATACTCCTCTGATAGTGTATGGATTCCCAAGAAAGAAAAGAAATCGTTCAAGTTTACTGATACAAGTATCAGTAAGGTGTTGGAATCTCTTTTAAAACATGCTTTCTAAGTACTCTTTTAATCTTCTAAGTATTACTTAACTGGTCACCTAACTGCTATTTAAATGTAAATTTGACAGGCAGACTCAACTGTTGGAAACTTCTAGTGATTCAAATTGACATTTTCAGCCTCAACTTCTCAAACTCCAGACTTTAAGTGACAACTAATCATCCCCACTTACATATGCAAAACTGAATTCTAATTTTTACTCTTTCCTACTTGTTCCTCTTCCATGGTTTTCTTCTCAATTTATATTGCTATCCATTCTGCCCTCTTAGTTTTAAATGGAGTGTTTAGTCCATACAAAGTAACTGTTAATATTTGGGTTTATATCTGACATTATATTATTTGCTTTCTATTTGATCCACTTGTTTAACATTTTTTTTCTTGATTTTTCCTTTGTTAAGCAAATATTTGTAATTATTCTATATTCTCGTATATTAGTTTGGTAGCTATACATTTTCTAGCTTTCCCTTTAGTGGATACCATATAAATTATAACATGCACCCTTAGTTTATTACTGTCTACTACAGATTGCCTTGTCTTCATATATGGTGATTCCATTTTAACAGCTACACGGGGCCCAAACCTTGTTTTCTTTCCTTCTCCCACAGATACAATATATCAGGAAAACCCTTGATTCAACTTCAAAATATATTCAAAATTCAACTACTTCTAACCACCTCCACAACTTGCCCTCTCATGTAAACTAAAACTTAGCCTATTCAAACAGCCTCCTCACCAGTCTTTCTTCCCTCTTGCCCCCCGGAATCCATGTTCTACTTCTTGTCAGAGGGATCCTTTAAAACATAAGCTAGACGATACCAGTACTATGATCAAAACACTATGAAGGCTGGCCATCTCGTTTAAAATAAACTCCTGAATCCTTACATTATTCTTCAAGGTCCAGCATAACCTGACCCCAATCTCCTCTGAAGCCTCACCTCCGATGACTTTGTCACTCAATCCTCTCCAGCTTCACTGGTCCCCTTGTTTATTCTTCATATACATACCACACAGCACCTGTCTCAGAGCTTTGAATGTCTACCACCCTGGCCTGGAATCATCTTCCTACAGTTACCCACTTGGTACAGTGAGTGTTATCTTTCACTTCACTCAGGCCTCTGTTCAAATGTCACCTCTTCAAAAAGAGATTCCTGAAACACCTTTTCTAACTCAAGATTCATTCCTATTTTTCCTCTTCTCTACTTTGTTTTTATTAATAAAAAAATTTGATGCTTTAACCATTTGTCTCTTTGTCATCTTTTTAATTCCCTTTTAAATGCAAACATCATGAAGATAGTTTACTTGGTTCCCTCTTCACTATCTAAGAAAGGCTTAAATAGATCTCGACAGAATGCAAAGGATATGTATGGAATGAAAGAATGAATTAATAAATGATTTCTAATCACTAGAAAGTCACCTCCCTCACACATATTCTCATTACCTTGTTCACATTCTCTTTTACAGTTTTTCAAAAGAACTCCACAGAGGCAGACCTCAGAGATATTGCAGATTTGGTTGTACACTGTCACAGTAAAGCAAATATAGGAAAAGTTAGCCAAATGAATTATTTTGTTCCCCATTTCATGTGAAAGTTGTATTTACACTATACTCTAGCGTATTGTGCAATACAATTGTGTGTAAAAAGCATACCTTAATGAAAAGATACTTGATAGCTAAAATATGCTGACCATTACATGCACTTTCAGCAAATCCTACTATTTTTGCTGGTGGAAGGTCTTGATTCTATGTGGATGGCTGCTGCTTGAATAGGGTGGTGGTTGCTGAAAGTTGGGGTGGCTGTGACAATTTCTTAAAATAAGAAAAAACGAAATTTGCTTCTATCAATTGACTCTTCCTTCCATGAACAATTTCTCTGTAGCATGTGATGTCGTTTGATAGCATTATACCCGCAGGAGAATTTCCTTCAAAATTGGAGTCAATCCTCTCAAACCCTGCCACTACTGTATCAACTAAGTTTATGTAATATTCCACATCTTTTGCCATCATTTCTACAATTGTCACAGCATCTCAAGAAAACATGTTCTTTGCTCATCCATAAGAAGCAACCCATTATCCATTAAAAGTATCATGAGATTGCAACAGTGTAGTCATATCTCTAGATGCACTTCTAATTCTAGTTGTCTTGCAAATTTCACCCCATCTACATTACTTCTAAAGCCTTGAACAAATCAGTTATCCATGAGTATTGGAATCAACTTCTTCCAAACTCCCCTGAATGTAAATACTTTGACTTCTTCCTATGAATCATGTTTATTCTTAGAATGTGGCTTTTAGAATGATGAATCCTTTACAGATTTTCAATTTCCTTTGCCCGTATCCATTAGAGTAATTACTATCAATGGCATCTATAGCCTTATAAAAAAAATTTTTTTTAAAGAATAAGACTTAAGGGTCAAAATTACTCCTTAATTCATGGGCTGCAGAATTGATGCTGTGTGAACAAGCATGAAAACAACACTCATGTTATAGTGCATCTCCATTGGAACTCTTGAGTGACCAAGTGGTAAATAAGCAATAATATTTTGAAAGGAATCACTTTTTCTGAGCAGTGGGTCTCAGAAAGGGCTTAAAATATTCAGTAGGCCATGTTGTAAACACATATGCTGTCATCCAGGCCTTGTTGCTTTATTTATAAAGCATAGGCAGAGAAGATCTAACATGCATCTCAATGGCCCTAGGAATTTCAGAATGGTAAATGAACATTGGCTTCAGCTTAAAGTCACTAGCTGCATTCATCTGTAACAAGAGTCAGCCTATCCTTTAAACTCTGAATCCAGGTTTTGACTTCTCCTCTCTAGCTACAAAAGCCCTAAATGGCATTTTCTTCCAACAGAAGGCTGTTTCAGCTACATTGGAAATCGGTTGTTTAGTGTGGCCACCTCCACTGATTAATTTAGCCAGATCTTGCTAGATTACTTGCTGTTTCACCTTGTACTTTAATGTTATGGAAATGGCTTTGTTCCTTAACTTTCATGAACCAACTTCTGCTGGCTTCCAACTTTTCTTCTGCAGCATCCTCACTTCTCTCAGATTTCAAAGAATTGAAAAGAGTTAAGGCCTTGCTCTGGATTAGGTTTTGGATTAAGGGAATGTTGTGGCTGGTTTGATCTTCTATCCAGACCACTCAAACTTTCTCCGTATCAGCAATAAAGCTGCTTGGCTTTCTTATCATTTGTGTGTTCACTGGAGTAGCATTTTTAATTTTCTCCAAGAATTTTTCCCCTGCATTCTCAACTTGGCTGCTTGATGCAAGAAACTTTGTTTTCAGACTGTCTTGGCTCTTGACATGCCTTCCACACTAAGTGTAATCATTTCAGATTTTCATTTAAAGTGAGAGACTAGGGACTCTTCCTTTCACTTGAACATTTAGAGACCGTTGTACAGTTACTAGTTGTCCTAATTTCAATATTGTGTGTCTCAGGGAATAGGAAGGTCCAAAGAATGGGTGACAGATGGGGAAAGAGTCAGTGAAATGATCAGAACACACACATCTTTTTATGGGCACAGTTTATGACATCCCAAAATAATTAAAACAGTAACATTAAAAAATAACTTATCACATAGATAGTAACCAGAGTAGAGGGGGTGAGGATTTAATAATATGGGTAACTGCTGAACTGTGCATTTGAAACCAATATAAGATTTTAGATCATCAACACTTCAATAAAAAATATATATATATGCCAGTTTAAGGAGTAACAAAAAATAACTGATCACAGATCATTGCGACAAATAATAGTGAAAAAATTTGGAATATTTTGAAAATCACCCAAATGTGATACAGAGACCTGAAGTAAGAAAATGGTGTTGGAAAAATAGTGTTTACAAACTTGCTCAATGCAGGGTTACCATACACCTTCAATTTGTAAAAAACACAGTATTGTTAAAGTACAATAAAGAGAAGTGTTATAAAACAAAGTATGCCTGTACACTGGATTATCCACATCTATGTCTTGCCCAGAACTCACCTTCCGGGACATTGTGACGTATACCATCCACACAGCTCTATGTTCCCTCCACACAGACCTCAGGCCAACCAAGGACATCCTCTCTTACTCACCCCAGCTGAAATGCCATCTCTGCTTTCTTTCATTATTGGTCCAGTCACCCAAGAGATGTTTGCTGTGGGATCTTGTTGGATTACTTACCCACTCAGAATTGCTAACTGTCCAACCTATTTTTAAAAGAAATTAACACATAGTCAAAACTGTTGCTACTAAAGTCAGAATACAGCTGAAATTAAAGAGGTGCACTATATTAATTTCCCAAAGTAGTCATATTTCTCTCTCTTCTGGTACCTCCTTCTCTCTCTCTCTCTCTCTCTCTCTCTCTCTCTCTCTCTCTCTCTCTCTCT